AGCTGTGGAGGGCAGTATCACTGGCCCTCATATGTGGGATCCGAACCGGGGCCCTCTGGCATCCCAAGCCAGCTCTTAACCAACGCGCCACTCGGCCAGCCCCCTTTTTCACATTTTTAACATCTCTGAAATGAGAAGTTTGGACTAGATGATTCTTCATGATTTGAAGAATACTTATTTTACTAACTAGCTAATGTGTTCATTCTACAAGGACATCGTATCTGTGTTAATTTTCTCTAAATATATGCAAAGCAAAATGTTGATCACATTATATTTACAAGTATATTAACATCAATACACATTTATTCATTTAAAACCCTAACTTTACACTTAGAAAACAATTTTGGTCATGAAGTGTATCTTTTTATAGCATGTAAGGCCATAATTACAACATACAAAATATTCTGTTTTAAAACATTTCAGTTTTTCTCCATTTCCACACAAAAGTCCTTTTTCTACAATAGGATACTGTACCTTAATTTCTCTTTCAGAATTTCAAGTTCACTTTTATATAGACCACACTTTTCCTGTAGTCTTTTATTTTCTTTTTCGCAGTTAATTAGATTTTTCTCTAGTATTTCTTCTTCAGCTTGAACCTAAAACAATAATTTATTTTAAGTGGACACACTAATGTGGTGATAGTTTTAGGTTATTTGAACTAAAAAGTAGTGATTTCCGAAATAAGCAGGACCAGGCCGGCCAAGTAGCACAGTTGGTTAAGAGCTCGCTAAAGAGTGTGAGCTCTGAGCAACAGGGTCACCGGTCAATTCCCTGCCCGAGCTGAGCTGCTGCTGAGCTGCCAACAGGTGGCAGGATGGCTCAGCTAAAAAAAAAGAAAAAGAAATAAGCAAGAGAGTGGACTAACTATTCTATCCTTTTAAGTCCCCAGCCTTGTAGTGAAGGTAGCAACATGAACTTCCTGGACAGGAAAGGGGATTCTGCTTCTGTTCAGTAATGGTTAAGAGCCTATGACAGAGGGGCAATGGCCAAAGTGTTCTGACCTCACATGGACAAGGCAAGCCACTCATCAAGTTACTACAGCTAATTTTAGTATGGGATGCTGCATCAAGTTACTAAAGGCTAATTTAGCGCAAATGTTCCTGAGAAGTAATTGTTCAAATTTTAGTCACAGAATAGTCCCATGAAAATCACTGTCCTAAATTTAAAACAGATAAAAGTCAAGCACCCAGGATGGAATGGTGGGACTGGAGGACTGGGCAGATCTGCCTTACTTCCTTTGTTACATCTTCCTAACTAGAGGGCTCTGCTGAGCAGTTTGAAACTAATAATCCTAAGAAGCGTAACAAAATCATCTCTTACATTTTCCTCTTTCCTATATAAAGTCCTCCCATTCCCCAATGCTATTCGCCCTACAAGTTATTCTACCTCCCCCTATTGATTACCTTATTAAAAATCCCTTCTATGATACTTTGTTTTCACAGCGAGCTTTTCCAAACCTTTCAAAACAGTGATGTGATTAATTCACACATAAGACTTAGGTAACTAATGGGATCTTGATTTCTTAATTTTTTTTTCTTTTTTCTTTCTTTCTTTTTTTTTTTAACACAGTCCCTAACTACCACAAATTATGCAGACGAGTTTCCCACATTTGGGGAAATCGCAGGGGTCAGCACATCTGGAGTGCAATGGATAAGCCTCGCCCTGGGAAAACCACCTTCGTGAGTATGGTATCTCTCCTGCCAGGTAAGTATTGATTTCTTAATTTTTAAAAATATTTTTCTTTGACCACTCTACCTTTCTTTAATCAGAATCATTAACTTCCTCTGTTTCAATTATTATCTCAAGATGCAAATCTCTCATATCAGTGTCTCTTGACCAGACCTCTATTCTGAGCTCAGCAGCTGAATATCCAACATGGCTTTCCTCCAAACAGGTTTTATCATATGGCATTATCTGAAGATATTAAATAAATGTAAAAAAGCAACTACATTACTATGTGGAATCTGTTCAAAAAGCCTTCCTTCTGAGAAGCAGAAGTAAGCCCCTCTCAGGGTGGCAGGTCCGGGGGGATCAACTGAAGGTTACATAATCTACCGTACTTGAATTTTTCACTGAGATGATGGGAACAAATTACTTGCTTCTACTTCTATAGCTCAACCTCTGCTCACTCATCCCATCTTTCTCTATATTTTGTTTCTTTTCTTGTCACCATTCTTTTTCCTCTGTGGATAAAAAAGTTTCTGATCATTATGAAAAGATTGTGAACATCATCCTAAACAAGAATTCTAAATTCTTAATTTCAATAATTTTATTATAAATGAGATTCCTAAAAATTACTCCCTGCTTTAACCATCAGCAAACATCTTTTACTTATGCCTGTCTTTATTTTTAGAATATGAGCAGTAATACAAAACATTGAATTTGTACAACTGCCTCTTACCTTTTCCAGTTTTTCGGCCACTTTTTCCTTATAATGTTGAAAGGCTTTACCCAGCTCTTCAGCATTATATAGCGCTTCATTCCTTTGTCGTTCAGCTCTAACATTTAAAAAGGGATAATTAATAAAAGTGAAGAATGCTCTGCATTTGAATAGTTAAGTTCCAAAGTAATCTATATTTAATTTTAAGGAATAATTAGAGAACAGACTTCTCTGTACCAAAACAAGAGTATTAGGCTTAAACTGCAAAATAAAGAATGAAGATTAGACTACAATAATTTCCTCACTATAAAATAAAAATGAGAACTAAAATATAACATAAATACTTATAGAGATAAACTTTGAACATACATACATTCTTATGTGTTGGCAATACTTTTTCCTCAGTCTGGAAAAGACAGATTAGGGAAGTAACCTGAGGCTATATGATAAATTTTCAAAGATCAGGTATTACAGCATCAGTCCACTGTCTAGTATATTAAAAATCCTGTGATTTGCAAAGGTCAAGTAAATTTTCAAAAAGGTATTTCAAAAGACAGTTACATCTATTGATATAAGATATGAAAATGTGAACAAAATCCAACCCCTACCAAGCACTGTCCTAAGCCCAACCATGCAGCCTCTCACTTCTTGGCTAATCCTGACCTTTCCCCATACTTCTCACACAGAATTGAGACTACTGGGCTGGAACTTGGTAAATTTCATACCCACACCTAAAAACTTTTCTATATTTAAACCTATTCTCATCACATTCCTTCCAGTGTAAGGGAAGTTAGTTACTCTTCTCTTATCCAAGGTGAATTGCTTTATCTAGACTCTGAATCTTAGTTCTTCCCTTTCAGAAACTGTCTTTTCTGTTCAGTCTCTTCTTATTGGCTTACAAACTCAAGTGAAAGTATCCCTTATTTCCAGAATATATGTGGTTCTTAAGTTTGGATAGCAATTGTGGATATCAGGGATGTCTATTTGGTTCCAAAGTTTCAGATAAAAAAATAGAGTTTAAACAATTAGTAATTTATCTGAAAAGCTAAGAGAATATATTCTGTTCCTTAATTTGCATTGCTAGAATTCAGAGAGCAAAGGGTACCTGTATTTCTCACTTAAATAAAAAAACCCATATTGTTTTCCTCTGTCATCTTTTCTTTAAAGCCAAACTTATCCACTTTATACTTACCTACTCTTCCTCACCACCAATTAAAAATCATGACATGTTTCAGCCACACAGAAAAGTATGGGTATATATATCTATACACTCCCAACCCAACTTTGATGAATCTTAACTCTGCTCTTTTTGCTTCATGTAGTCTTTTTTATTTTAAGCAAACAAAACATTAGACATTATAGCTGAGATCCCGGTGAGTCATTTCTAAATCCCATTCCTGACTTCTCTCAGAAAGGTAACCCTAGTACCACTTTTTTTTTTTAATTACCAAACATTTTGTACATTCACATGTTAACCTAAACCCACAAATAGTACCTCATAGTTCACCTTTCTAACAGGCAGATTGTTGTCACATTTTTAACATCTCTAAAATTAAGTATTTTTACAATTAATGGTATATTATAGCTCTATGGTGATATTTTTTCTGAGTGATTACTAAAACAATGTTGTACCTTAAAATCTATGTAATCTTACATTCAATGAAACAGTCTTTTCCCCATGTTTTTATACTTTGTGAATGGCATCACACGGCCAATATCCTTCTGCAGATTGCTTTTGTTCAATGTTATTCAACATCTATGTTCACCTATGTGACCAGAGTTTGTTTTTACAGTTTTGTTTTGTTTTTTTAGCTGAGCCATCCTGCCACCTGTTGGCAGCTCAGCTCGGGCCCGGACTTGAACCGCTGTTGCTCAGAGCTCAAACTCTTGCGCGAGCTCTTAACCAACTAAGCCACTCGGCCGGCCCTGAGTTTGTTTTTAAAAATCTATCACATGCTATTTCATTGTATGAAAATACTGTAATTTATTTATCCATTTTCAGATGACAGATATTGAGTTTTTTTTCCAGCTAATACAAACAACATTGCAGTGAACATCCAGGGGCATAGCTCCATGACAGTATGTGTGAGAGTTTCTTTAAGATAAATAACTATGAGCTGAATTGCTAGATATTTTCCAAAAAGTTATTTCCAAGTTGAAGGTACTAGGTAGTACTTCAACTTTATTAAATCCTTTTTAAAAAATTAGTATAGCAGCTGTACCAATTTATACTCCCAACCAGAAATATGTATGACAGTTTCTGTTGAACCACACCTTCACCTACACTTAGAGAACCAGTACATCGTAATAATAAAATAGTAACCTATTTAAGCTTCCCAACAATCTATAATGAAGATAAGTGCACAAAATGAGGCACTGAGAGGTTAAGTAAGTTGCCCAAAATCTCACAGGTTACAGTGAATGTAACCTGTTTCCAAAATCTCTTAACTACTTTGCACTACACTATTTCTGGCATGGTATTCAATACAATGGGCTGTAGAACCAGGGTCTGGATTCAGATTTCACCTCTACCACTTTCTGTGTGACCTCAACTTCTCTAATTCAGTTTCCTCATCTGTAAAATGAGGACATTTTTTACTTCATCTAATTGAGGAGTAAATGAGTTACTCTTAAAACACCAGGAAAAGTGTTTACACATAGTAAATGCTTAGTAAGTTAATATAATTATCAAATTAAAAATGTTTGCCAATAGTGTGAGATGATTGTAGTTTTACCTCATTGTAATATTGATCTGCATTTTTGATGATGGTGATCTTGAGCAATTTCCTGTTTCACTGGCCATTTGAGTTTCCTGTCCTTCACCTGTTCAGATTCTTTGTCTTTTATTACTGAATCCCTCCACCCCACCTTTTTCTTATTGATTTGTGAGTTTTTTAAATAAATTCTGGGTACTAATCCTTGTGAATTATATTATTTGCAAATATTTCCCCAAGTATCTAGCTTGTCTTTTTCAGTTCTTAAATGATGTGTTTTAGGGAACATAAAGTTTTTATTTTAATGGACTTAAAATTTAGCAATCTGTTCCTGTAATATTTATGCTCTCTGGATCTCATTTAAATACATTTTTCCCTACCATGAGACACCCTGGAAACTGTTCCCCTATATTTTCTCTAAAAGTTTTACTTTTCACAATAGGGTCTTTAATCCATCTGAAATTTGTTTTTAAATATGCAGGTGTATTATGAGGTAGGGCTCTATTTAATTTTAAAATCAATAATCAATTCTCCCAGCATCATTTTTTGAACTTTTTGTTTTTAAAATTTCAGATTGGTACACCCTGAATGTGGACTCGCCAAGTTTTAACATTTTGCCACAAGAGCTTTATGTCTCTCACTTGAGAGTTTTTTGCACTGAACTACATTCTAATTAGTAACCTTCACCCCTAAATACTTTAGCACACATCTACGAACCTGGATATTGCCTCACATAATCACAACCCAACTATCAAGTTCAAGAAAATTAAAACTGATACAATACTATTATGTAATATACAATTCATATATAAGTTTCATCAATTACTCCAATAATATTTTTTATAGATTTTTTTGTTTTGTTTTGATCCAGGATAACATACTGCTTTTAGTTATGTCTCATTAGTCTCCTTAATTTGAAACATCTTCTTAGCTTTTCTTAGTCTTTCATGACACTGACATTTTTGAAGGAAAAAACAACAGTTGTTTTACAGAAGACCAACCTAGGTTTGTCTGTTTCCTCATGACTAGATTCAGGCCATTCACTCTTGGGAGCCATACTACATAAATAATGTCATACTTGTGTCACAATTATCACATATGATGTCAGTGTGTCTAGCACCTTAATTTATTGATTCTTCCATCCTTTCCCCTGATTTGTAACCTCATCAACTTTCCACTGTATGTGTTTTCTTAAGAGTCTCTGTTCTGTACCACTGATCTTTTTGTTTATTCCTATACCAATATCACGTTGACTTAATTAGTATAACTTTAGAAATCTTTGTGTCTATAGGCATGTTCTCTATTTTGGTCTACAGCTTCAAAATTTCCTTGTCTATCTTAAACCTTGGTTCTTCCATATGATTTTTTGGGTCAGTTCATTAAGTTCTACCAAAAATTCTATTGGGATATTGACTGAAATTGTACTGAACGTATAAATTATTTCATGAAAAAAAAATGACACCTTTATATTAGGTTCCCTTCCAGAATAAAAGAGTATGTTTATACCTCATTCGTTAGACCTTCTTTCAAGACTTTCAAATTTTCAAAACTTTGTAATTTTCTACATTATGTTAAGCATTTCATTTTATTCTGATATTTTGACATCTGGAGCCTTACTGACTTTACAAAGAGTGGTCGTCCCAGGGCGAGCCAATTCTTAGAGATAATAAAATACTTACTTGACACTATACCTTTCATAGGCAAACTAAGCAATGCAGAGCCCACTCCCCACAACTCTTATACACAGGACCAATATTCCCCTGTCCTGATTACTTCAGGACCAGGTACCAGACAGCTCAGGACAGCCTTACACTATAGCCCACTGAGATTATTCATACAAGTCAATCCTAAACCTGCTTACCCTGCCTCAATCATTCCTTCACACAAATAACACAATCAAATAGCTTGTTCACATTTTCCTCCAAACTCTCTCTTCCTCCTGACCAATACCGTGTGTCCCACTGCATGGCATGGCATGTCTCCTGTTTCTAGGGATCTAAGTATAAAAATTTCTTCCTTCATGACAGTTATTTCCATGTCTGTATATCTTACAATAACTGATTAAAACAAATCCTGAGTTCATTTAAAAACCTCCCTTGAGATTGTACATATCTCCTATATTTTATTTCAATTTTTATTTAGATTTTTTTATTGAGTAAAGTTCAGAAGTCTTAATTTAAGAGAATGAATTTTTGTATGTATATACCCACATAACTACTATCCAGATCAAATATAGAACATTTCTAGCACCCAAAAGGCTCCTTTATGCACCTCCAGTCAATATTCTTTATCCCAAAAGATAAGCACTATTTGGACTTTTAACATCAGATTAATTTTGCCTACTCTTGATTTCTTTTTTTAATATATTTTTATTAGTTTCAGATGTACAAAGAATTGTAATAGACATTTATACCCCTCACAAAGTAATAACCCACCCCTCCCCCCAATCTACTACCCCTCTACGCTTGATTTCTTATGGAAATATACAGTATTCTTTTGTATTTGACTTCTTTTGCTTAACATATGTGATATTCATCCATGTTGTTAAATAGCTATAGTTGATAAATGCTTTTTCACTGATGCAGACATATATTTCAAACTGTGAATATAACACAATTTATTAATTGATTCTATTGTTGATGAACATTTAGCAATTATGAATGAAGCTACTATGAACATCCTTGCACGTCTTTTGATAGGTACAGGCATTCATTTCTGTTGGAGTGCGTGCTGGATCATAGGTGACCTATGTTTAGCTGTAGTAGACACCGGCAAACTGTTTTTCAAAGTAGTTCTACCAACTTATACTCCTACTAGAAATATGAGGATTCCAGTTACTCCACAACCTTGCCAAAACTTGATACTGTGAGTCTTTTCCATTTTGGCCACTGGGGGCCGCAATGGGCCTGGCCTTTTGTTATCATGTTTTGAGTGGTTTGCTTTTTGGTAGGCAAATTTTCAACTACTGATTCAATACCTCTAATGGCTAGACACCTATTGAGGTTTTCAATTGATTCTTAAGTTGGTACTGTGAAATCATATTTTGTTGGAAAATTGTTTATTTACTCTACATTTTCAAATTATCATCTTAAAATGGTTTATAGTCTTTGGTCTTTTTTTAAATCACAGCAAAATGTGTAATTTAGGAGTCCCTTTTCAATCCTAATATTGTTTTTTGTGCCTTTTTTCCTTGATAAATCTTGTCTGATGCCCATTATCTTGGCCATTGTGAAAAAACAAGATTTAGGTTTCGGTAATCCTCTCATTTCCTTGTTTTCTACTAATCCCTTTCACCTTTATCTTTATTATTTCATTACTTCTGTTTTTCTGTTGTTTTCTTTTGATGTCCCTTTTCTGACTACGTAAATTGGATGTTTTAGCGCATTCATTTTTAGTCATATAAATAATTTTAATATATGCATAGGCTTAAAAATGTTCCTCTACGAATATCTCTGGCTACAGTCCATAAAATGATATACAATATTTTTTATGTCACTAAGTTATAAAAGTTTTCTAATTTTTATAATAAATTCTTCAATGGTCCATGCATAGCAAGAAGGTTGGTTTTAAATTTCCAAACATACATGATTTTGGGGGGGTTATTATCTAACTTAATTGCAATGTAGTCTGAGAAGGTTATATGTGACATCAATCTTTTGGTGTTTGTTGAAACTCATGCTTTCTGGCATAGTGAGGTAACAGATTATAAATGTTCTAAAAGTGCTTGAAAGAATTTTAATTCTCAAATTGTTAGGTACAGTGATCCATATATACATCAATTAGATCAAGATTATTAATTGACATCTTCAACTTCTTACTTTTTTTTTGTTGTGTAATCTAATAATTCCTAGTAAATTTGTAAAAATGTTTGCTGTATTATAGATTTGTTCATTTCGACTTGAAATTTTGTTATTTTTCTTTATATATTTTGAAAGTAAATTATTATACATACTAATTTTGAATCTTTATGGTTTCCTGCTTAAGTGTTACTTAAACATATATTATGTAAGAGTTATTAACTCTAGTAAGCTTGTTGCACTTAAATCTATTCTGTGTGACATTAATGTAACTATATTTACTGTTTTAGTGACATTTGCCTGAAATATTTCTTTCCATCCCTCCTTTCAACTTTTCTGTGTCCTTATATTTTAGGTATGTCTTATAAACAGCATAAAGCTAAACAACCTCTGCCTTTACAGTGGCTTTTTAATCCATTTTGATTAATCTTCTGCACCCCAAAAAAATGCCTTTGCAAAGATTTCAGTATTTGAATTTCAGAATGCCTGTACTCATTCTAGCTCTTCAAAAAGCTCCAAGAGTCTTCATGTCACACCTCTTTCTAAAAATGTCAATTGCCGGTCTTTTTTTCCAACTTGTGCCTGGCAGGATGGCTCCCGCAAAGAAGGGCGGCGAGAAGAAGAAGGGCCGTTCTGCCATCAACGAGGTAGTGACCAGAGAATACACCATCAACATTCACAAGCACATCCATGGAGTGGGTTTCAAGAAGCGTGCCCCTCAGGCACTCAAAGAGATCCGGAAATTTGCCATGAAGGAGATGGGAACCCCAGATGTGCGCATTGACACCAGACTCAACAAAGCTGTCTGGGCCAAAGGAATAAGGAATGTCCCATACCGTATCTGGGTGTGGTTGTCCAGAAAGTGTAATGAGGATGAAGACTCACCAAATAAGCTCTATACGTTGGTTACCTATGTACCTGTCACCACTTTCAAAAATCTACAAACAGTTAATGTGGATGAGAACTAACTGCTGATTGTCAAATAAAGTTATAAAACTGCAAAAAAAATAAATAAATAAAAATTAAAAATAAATAAATAAAAATGTCAATTGCCGGACCGGCTGAGTGGCTCAGTTGGTTAAGAATTTGCTTAAGAGCGTGAGCTCTAAGCAACAGGGCCACCAGTTCGATTTCCACATGGGCCAGTGACACTGCACCCGAGCTGAGCTGCCAACAGGTGGCAGAATGGCTCAGCTGATGAGAACTCGTGCTCCTAACAACAAGACTGCCTGTTCAACGATGGGCTACACTGGCCCACAACTAAGACTGAACTCTGCACCTTGAGCTAAGCTGCCCCCCGGATAGCTCAGTGGATAGAGCATGCACTCTTAACAACAAGGCTGCCGGGTTTGACCCCTGCATGGGGTGGTGACTATGCCCACCCGTTACTAAGATTGTAACACAGCACCTTGAGCTTAAAGGCCACGAGATGCTGATGGGCAGCCAGATGGCGACTGGCGCCCTCCACAATTAAGATTGAAGAACAACAACTTGGCAGGTCCCCCTCCCCAATTCCCCAACACTGTTCCCTTCCCCCAGTCCCCCAATTTTAAATAAACAAATAAATAAATATGTCAATTGCCTATTTATGCTCTCCAGGATAAAACACAAATCCTTTGGAGATGGCCAAGTGGTGCGTTGGTTGAGAGTTGGCTTGGGACGCCAGCTCTGAGCAGCAGGGCCCCGTTCGGATCCCACAGTAACGCTGCACCCTCTACAGCTAAGATGGTGAACAACAGCTCGACCTGGAGCTGGGCTGCTGTGAGCACCGGCGATGGCGTAGGCTGCAGTGGGGCTAGCCGGCAGCTGCTGGCATGCGCTTTCATGAGCTGCCGTGAGCCGCCGTGAGAGGCCATCTAATGGCCGGCGACCGATCTGCCTCAGCAGGGAAGAGCGCAATGATCACAATACCAACATGGGCCAGTGAAGCGACATCCTCCACAACTAGACTGTAGAGCCAAAGGACAGCAACTTGTCTGTTCCCTTTCTCGTATTCCCCAACGCTGTTTCCCTCCCCCAACTCCCCAATAAAAATCTTTTTAAAAAACCCCACAAATCCTTTGGAGTAACAAATAAAACCATTTACAGTGTAGACCAAATGTCTTCTTGCTTCATTTCCTGCTACACCTATCCATTTATAAGGACATAAAACACTTTAGTGTTCTTCAGGAATGATGCCCTTCAATACTTCTATGCCTTTACACATGCTGCCCAGACTGTGTCCATCCCCACTTATGCACCTTGTGAAACAAAGTCAATACCCAACCCTAAAAATCATCTCTATTTAAGTTCTCTCTAGAACCAGTTGCTCTTCCTCTGTACTTTTTCTTAGCTATATTATAGTTAGTTTTCATGCACTATTATTTCACTATTTTAAATAACCATGTACAAAAAGGTTATCTGAGTAAGTCTGAATTTCAGGATATTTAACCATACAGTTTACATTTACAATAGGTACATTTGTTAGTGTTTATTATTTAAGAGGCTCCGTACATTTCTTTCTTCATTTAATCCTTATATCAAGACAATAGCGTCTTGATTTAATAGATGAACAAACTGAGATTCAGGGTTTAATCATTTGCCCAAGGTAACAAAGCCACTGAGAGGTAAAATCTGGCTGTTTGGCTCCAAAAACTAAATATTTCTACTAAGTAATATTTCCTATATATTGTAACTGGAACTAGAGTAACCAAATGCTGCTGGGAAAATACTCTTCCAAACCCATTTTAACAAAAATGACTTATAGATGGGTTTGAGAGGTTTTTAGAAGTATAAATGCAAATGCAAACAAAGATTTAACATATTTATTACAACTTGTCAAAACATACTTTCATTGTAACCTTATATCGCAGTATAAATTTTTAAAATACATTTGTACTGTTAAAATTTTAAATGCAGATTATGATCTTACTCTATGTAAAGCTGCTATAATTACATTATATTGTAAAATCTCATTAATTTAAACTGAAATTTAAAAAAAATATTAGTTAAAAGTTAATAGACATTCAAAGTTAATGGTTCCTGGGTCAAGATTACCTACAAAACTTTATCTTAAGACATGGTTTATACTAAATAGATATTTTTACATTACTTATGTATTTCTTAAGGAAGACCCAAACACAGTTTCTCATGAGTTTTATGTAAGTCGTGCAAATTTATTTCAGAAGTAAATATCATTATATTGATAATCATTATCAAGCTTCTAGGAATTAATCCCAATCAAGAATGCCAATAACAAAATCCACACATAAAAATTTTAATGAAAAAAATGGACAAAAAAGAAAATTAAGTTATTCTACTGCCAAATTTCTGAAAATTTTTCACTTCAAAACTTAGCTAGAATTTTAAACAGGTAATATATTGTATTTCCCCCCCTACAAAACAATTACTTGCTTTAAAAACACAATACCTTTTTCCTTGTTTACTTTGTTCAAGTAAATCCACCTTCAACTTTATACATTCCTCTTGGGACTTCTGCAAACTCTGTTCCTTTTCAATCACCATTTTCTGGCTCTGCTCTAATTTATCTTCTGCCTCTCTACAAAACAGAGGATTTTTTTTAAAGGCTATTTTAAAGAGACTATGCCAGTATGCAAGAATAGTTCAACATCAGAAATTCTATTAGTTTAAACCACTGAGTTAAGAGACACAAATATTTAATAGGAGACAAAGAAAAGGTATATTTATCCTTTGTTAACTAAGAGTTTTAATAAGGAATAAAAGAATATTTCCAGCAAATGATAAATATATAGCTTATATCCTATTTCATACTGAGATACTACAATAGAACCATTACCATATAGGTCAGAAACTAGATAAAAATGACTGTTATCACCACTATATCCAATGATTTTTTTTCCTGACAATTGCAAAAAAGTAAAAATGAAAACATAGTTAAGTATAAATGTATAAAAGACAAAAATTTCTTTTTTTGCTAATATCATTAGCTACTTGGAAAATCCAAGAGAATCAAATGAAAAATCATTACAATTTATAAAAGTATGAGAAATAGTCCAATTACAAAGTAATTAGGGCCGGCCGAGTGGCTCAGTTGGTTAAGAGCTCGCTCAAGAGTGCAAGCTCTGAGCAACGGCAGTTCGAGTCTTAGCCTGAGCTGAGTTGCCGCTGAGCTGCCAACAGGTGGCAAAATGGCTCAGCTGAAAAAAAAAAACAAATAAACAAAAAAAAACAAAGTAATTATATTACACAAAAAGTAGTAGTCTTCTCTTATACTACCAATGAACAAATTCACAACAACCAAAAACATAAAATACCTAGGAATACACATAAAATATGTATTACAAAGACAACTGCAGATTTCTAATGGTCATGAAAGATGACTTTAGTGTGCATCTGAATCATCTGCAGGGCTTGTTAAAAAATAGATGGCTGGGTCCTACCTCCCCGAGTTTGTGATTCGGTAAGTCTAAGATAGGACCTGAGATTTGTATTTCTAACAAGTTCCCAGCTGATGCTAATACTGCTGTTCCCAAAACTACACTTTGAGAATCACTAAAATGAAGTAATGTGTTATTTAGTATGCATATACATCTCATTTCAAAGCAGAATTATAAATTGCCTAATTCCTTGATGTACTGAGTATACATTACTATGTAAGGCAAGAAATGAACTAGTTCATATTTAATAAAAGCATGTAAATAAGTATCTCAGCTTAGATTTAGTCTTTTTTAGCCCCATATACTGCAGCCAAGCAGAGTTACGATAGACTGAACACAGATTCAACACGTTCTAAGATAGCCACTATAGATTTATTGAGGCGGAGGACAAGATTTAATAAGATATATCAAAAAGCAAAAGTAGGAAATAAAAAAATTAAAGTTCTAAAAAGTAGATTTACCTCAAAACTTTATCTTGGGCTGAAACTTCTGCTTCCAAATTTATAATCTGTTCTTCTAAGATCGGCACATTGGCTGCCTGTTGTTGAGCAGATTCAAGCATAGAGACCTAAAATAAATAAGATAGTTCCTAGATGGTGGAAACTGGTTGATCTTTCTCCCTGTTCTTTTCTCTATTTAAAAAGTTTTCAACAATGAGAATGTATTATTTTAAAAAGATAAATCAACTGTATTTCCTTTGTACAATAAAACCACAGAAATTGGTAATCTTAAGCTGACTTATCAGGCTGGCTGAGTAGCACGTTGGTTAAGAGCTGGCTTGGGACGCCAGAAGGCCCCGGTTCGGATCCCACATATGAGGGCCAGTGACACTGCCCTCTACAGTTAAGATGCTGAACAACAGCTCAACCTGGGCTGCCGTGAGTCGCTGGCGACAGTGTAGGCTGCAGCCCCTGCTGCACTGGGTTGCCATGGGCTACTGTGTGTAGCCAGCAGCCAGCGTGAGCGACCCTCAAGCCACCGTGAACGGCCGTCCAGAAGCCGGGGACTGATCTGCCTCACCCGGGAAGAGCGCAATGATGGTGTCAACTTGGGCCAGTGAAGCAACGTCCTCCACAACTAGACTGAAGAACAAAACGACAGCAACTTTTCTGTTCCCCTTCCCCTAATTCCCCAGCAGTGTTCCCATCCCTCCAATTCCCCAATAAAAATCTTTAAAAAAAAAAAAAAGAAGCTGACTTATCTAAATGCAGACTATACAAGTTCCCCTGAATCATTTTCTGATACTTAAGTCATATAATATTGATTCCATAACATATTGATATTACATTATCATAATAAAAATTATACATAACACATTAAATCAATACAAGGAATACTTTTCCAATTATAAATCTTTAAATGATGATTCTGTTGACGTAATCACCACTTCAAGAAACATACTTTTGCTCTTGACTGCGTTAACTCAAAGTGGACAGATTCTATTTTAGTCATTAAAGAATGATTCTGTGAAACCAAACAGGCATTCTGTTGCCTAAGTTTATTAAGTTTCTCTCGAAGACTTTTCATTTCCTGATCCATGGAAGCAGATGAAAAAGATATCTGAAAAATAAAAAAAGAACAATCTATTTTTATTTCATTAAGCATTACATGTAATTATTGTAAAATGATGAACAATTATCAATATAAAATGACTAAGGAACTCAAAAAAATGAGTTAAGATACTCAGTGAATGTTGGTGAGATATCATTTAAACAATACAATGTATTAACTATTCACACAGCATTTACACTGTATTAGGTACTGGAAGTAATCTAGAGATGATTTAAAATATAAGGGCGCATTGCATAGGTTATATGCAAATACTATTCCATTTTATATAAGGGACATGAGTATCTTCAAATTTTGGCAACTGCAGGGGATCTTGGAACCAATCTCGCATGGATACCGAGAAAGGTCTGTATATCGTTCTGAACTCGGCATTTTTTACTTAAATGATACATCTTGGCCATCTCTCCACAAGCAATACAGTGAGAAATTTCTATTCCTTTTTTTCCCCATCAGCTGCAGTTTCCATGGCATGTTTATTCAACCACTCCCCTATTATTGGACACTTGAGAGCTATTTGTAATCTTCAGTTAAAACAAACAATGCTTCATTTTGCACTTATGCAAGCATACCTATAGGTTAATTTTCTAGAAATGGATTACAAGTCAAGGGTAAACAAATTTTTGTGATTTTGGCAAACATTACTAAATGCCTCTCTACCGGGGTTTTTATCATTTTGCAGACCTACCAGCAATGTACGAGAGTGCCTATTTCTGCCTATTTTCACCAACAAAACAGTGTCAAATATTTGGATGTCTGACAATTTGTTATGTAAGAACTGGTACCTAAGTATAATTTTATCGTGAATTTCTTTTATTATGAGTGAAATTGAACATTTTTTTTGCTTGAATATCATTTTAATTTCCTTTTTTATACATGTCTTTTGTCCATTTTTGGGTTATTGTCCATTGGGTTATTGATCTTTCTTCTTTCTAGGAGCTCTTTACATATGAAAGAACCTTCTGTCTTTAATAGGCATTACCAGTATTTTTTCTCTTCCAATTCATCATTTGTCTTTTGATTTTGCTTCAGGTAAAACACATTGATTTCAACTAGGGCATTAATATGATTAAAAAAACAATCAGCAATTTGAATTAGGATAGAGATCATACTTCCCAGAATGACATAATCTTTGTTGACATGGAATTTGAATTAATTTCCTAAAATGTAGGCTCAAACAGCTTCATTTAAACAGCTTCCTTACAAAAATAAAATCTCTCAATTGTTGGCTGTTTGAAGTGGGAAGAGCAAATTTTTATCAAAAATGATTATGATCTACATATGCAACCATATATATAGTGGGGTAATAAAGAACAGGAAGAAGAATGGAAAAGGAGATAAAGGGTTGACTAAGAGGGGTAAACACAGGGAGATATTAATATGGCTGAATAAGAAACAGGCAGAGAGAAAGTGAGTTCCAGATCAGGGAAGATATTTGAGATCATCCACAAAATTCAGGGATAATGAAAGTAGAATAATCCCATGCTATCACATACCATTCTGATCCAGGTTAAACAGTAAATATACTTTAACCACTTAATAAACAACTGATTACCTATTATGTACATGGTATAGTGCTAAAATCAAGTGGGGGGGGTTAATTTGAGAAAACATTTAATTGCAAAAAGGCGATATATATAAAAGTTTAAAAATAGAATACGCCAAAAATAACTACTTTCCTGTTAAGACAAAATAATAACCATTATATTTAAATTCAATAAGTCTTAAGTACTATAGTAAAAGACTATGGAAAACATGAATAAGGCATTTGAAGAAAAAAAACTCAAAGAAAAACTATTTTAAGTAGACAGGTCAAAAACTAAAACTACTGGGCCAGCCGAGTGGCGCGATGGTTAAGAACTGGCTTGGGATGTCAGAGGGCCCCGGTTCAGATCCCACATATGAGGGCCAGTGACACTGCCCTCTACAGCTAAGATGCTGAACAACAGCTCAACCTGGCTGGGCTGCCGTGAGTCGCCGGAGACAGCGTAGGCTGCAGCCCCTGCTGCAGTGGGTTGTCATGGGCTACCGTGTGTAGCCAGCAGCCAGCGTTAGCAACCAGCAGCCGCCGTGAGCGGCTGTCCAGAAACCAGCGACTGATCTGCCTCACCCGGGAAGAGCGCAATGATGGTGCCAGCTTGGGCCAGTGAAGCAACGTCCTCCACAACTAGACTGAAGAACCAAAGGACAGCAACTTGTCTGTTCCCCTTCTGCCAATTCCCCATCCCCCAATTCCCCAATAAAAATCTTAAAAAATAAGTAAATAAATAAAAACAATAACCTTATCTCTTGGCTTTTTTTGAAAAGCAGTACTGCTACTGGGCAGTTTACAAACTTTTTTATAAGGTGAGTAATTCAAAAGTCCAAGCTGGCTAGGCTGAGAAAGATCTTCCACAATGTTCCTTTCAGACCTTGAGGGATTAGAGGCATAATCAGAATTTTCACTTGGACTAACGCTAGAGAAAAAAGAAAAAATACAGTTTAATTCTTAGGTATTATAATTTAAGTATTCGACTCCAAATTTCTATATATTATATAAGAAAACAGAAAAAAAAGCACCTGAAATGCTGCTGGAAATCAGATTCACAGTTATGAACCTAAGGCAATGTTTGAACTAAATTTTTAAATAGACGAGTTAGTTTTAAATTACCCATCTATGTAGAATTTTGAGAGCCTCTATGCTAGAATTACTTAAGATTAAAAAAATAGTCATAGTAATAGATTATACCCAAAACATATATTTCATAGCATCCTAATACATGGAAGGTGTTTTCTTAATATGTATATGATTCCCTAATATTTCTATTTTTTCCTAAACTGAGTTATAATCAAAATTATAGAACATTACTTCTTATTCTAGAGACATACTAGAAACACATTAAATAATAAAATTCATACATTTTACATTCATAAATTAAAGTCATACTCTGAATTCTATATGTGATTCTACTTACTTACCTGGATAACTCTTCCCCTAAACTCTGCAAACTCCATTCTGTTATCTTCAGCTCATGTCTTAAGGAAGCAACATTTGCAAGCAAACTTTCTTCTTCATTGTCTTTATTATAGTAGCCTGGTGAATTAGGTTCCATTTCCTAAAAAAAGAAATGAATTTACTGTACCTTGCAGGAAAGAATCTGTGTTGTTAGTCAAAATACTCTCACACTAATAGAATTTCATTATTTTTCTCTCTCAGATGTTGTGAAATCTTTCATGGTGATTTAAAACAAAACAAACAAACAAAAAAGCCAGGGTCTAATTATTATATGCACCCTTTCTAACCACATCTTTCTAACAATTGTGTGAACTAAGTGTTTTTATTCCATGTGAAAGATGAAGAAACTAAGAATAAGACAAATTAAATGACATACTCAAGGTCACACAAACTCAAGGAACCAAGATTTGAACCTAAGTCATCAGAATCCAAAGAACTTGTTGCCACACTGCAATTTTCTTATTATAGATCAGTTTCAATATGAGGTGTTCGAACTTACATAATCACATTACAAGCTGTGGACATCTGATAAAATTGGTATCATTACAGTCAGTCATATTTTCTTAAAGGCAATTATTACCTGATACCGATTATCCCCTTCTCCCATTCACGATGGTTATAAAAATTTTAAATTACACACATTCACATCACAACCACAGAGATCAAAATAACATTTGGCAAGTTAACTCATAGAAATATATAAATAAAAGCCTTTGTTTCTTCAACAAAAGTATATCTCTAGGGTTGTGAAATTCTCTACTAAATACCTTTGAACATAAAAATCGTGATAAACGGCAACATTTTATTAATAATTAATATAATTATGTATGAAAACACATGCTATCCATAACTAATACAATTAAATGAAGGATTTATAATCTCTATTACTCCTGTAGGTCATTCTGCATAATCTTGAAATTAGTTTCAGATCCCCTTTACCTTGGTCACTGTAGCATCTCTCTTTCATCACCCTTCTAGAATTCTGACCACAACTGAAGATCCAAAAGGCTAGGAGTCCTGTGTATTATGTTCAGGACTGTGAGGCACTTGGAGCAGCTCAGTATTTTCAGTGCATAAATGATTACTAAACTACCCTTCCTTCCCCACACCCAGCTAAAACAATATGGCAAATGTATTCCCTACTCAAAATTTCTCAGACTTAAGTAGAAAGATTAAAAAGAAAACTCTCATCTCATGGGGATAATCTATAGCAGGAAATTAAATGAGATATTATGTAATCTTAGAGAAAATGTTTCTATCCTCTTTTCCCCACAAATTTGCTTTTGCTTAAGTGAGAAGACGCTCCCAGATAAGTCAATGGCTCAGGTCCCCATACAGCTTTATCTTTTCAACACCTATAGCTTCCTACAGGATGGTGAAGGAAACAAAAAGGTAAAAGAAAATTTGGGTAAATTCTAAAATGCCATTTAATATTATGGTCCAACTAAATAAGATTTTATGTCTAACATCTTCTATGTATTTTAATGTAAGAATTCTCTAACCCTCCTTAAGTAATAGTGAATACGTTTGATACGCAAATATTTTTTCCTTGTGTGCCATTTATTGTCAAATGAAGATTTTTCCCTCCTTTCCGTAGTAATAAGTTTATCTTCATTGCCTGTACATACGTGAAAAGCGCATCATGCTACCTACAAGCCCTAACGTCATTTTTTGGCCCAAATAACAATGCGTTTGTAGCTGTACATACGCACACCCATCACAACGAACATGTAATAGGGAGGACTGTAGTCGAAAAAGATTCCTCATCTTGGAAGGAGGCCATAGCTTTATACAGGATTGTCCTGTATCAAGAAGGTTCAATTGGACAGACCTGATCCTACGTTCATCTAGAAGTGGAGGCAAATATGACACCTTCCTCTCCATTTTTCCTCAACTAAAATACAACCCTGCTGAGCAGCGTGCGCAGAAGAGAGGACCAGACGAGGGGTGTCCGAGGATGCCAGGAGGGAAAGGAACAAAATTCCCCCAAGTAGGCCTGTTTCCACCCTCCAGGGAGCAGTCGTTCACCACCCAAGTCGTATTTGGGAGAGACACCCACTTGACTATAGAGGCCGCCGCGCTCTCGCCTGCGTTCGGAAGCCTCGGACCCTCTCCCCGGCCTCGGGCGTGGAACCATCAAACACAACACGCTAGGAACCAGCGAAACCCGGCAGAGACGCGTTCGAACCGCCGCGGGAGCCGTTGGTGACGTACCCCGCAGCCCCGCCCCCCCGCGCAGTCTCTACGTGAGGCGGCGCAGGAGGCGGGGCGCCTGCTGGGAATCGTGGTCTGAAAGCGCTTCCGAGCCCCGTTCTCGGAACTACATTTCCCACAATTACTCCCACGGCGCCCATTGGTGCAGGGGAAGCCATGGGAACCTGCGGCTGTCTGGGTGTGAGGCGGGCAGTGCTCACGCCGGGCCTGAAGGGGCTGAGACTGGAGGTTGCGGAAAGGGACTGCTGGCCCCGCCCTCAGCTCCTACTCTTTGGAGGTCCGCGTTTCCCACACTGAGGCAGTGTTTGCCGGCGCCGCGGCCGCCACCTGGAGTTGCTGCAGGCTCCAGGTTACACTGCCAACCACGAGGAGTCCAGGGAGGAAGAGCGGAGCCGAGGTGCCAATAAACTCACACCTCCCACGCCTTTTCCAGCCCGAGATCGCCCCGGCAGGGATGGGTGACAAGATCTGGCTACCCTTCCCGGTGCTCCTCCTGGCTGCTTTGCGCGCAGCGCTGCTGCCGGGGGTGGCCGGCTTCACGCACTCCTTAGACAGCGACTTCACGTTTACCCTTCCCGCTGGCCAGAAGGAGTGTTTCTACCAGCCCATGCCCCTGAAGGCCTCGCTGGAGATCGAGTACCAAGTAAGTGTGGAGGGTGAGCCAGCCTCCTTCCTTTAGCCCACCTCGTCGTCGCCTCTCACCCGCTTAGAAACTTCTTGTGGCCGGCGGGGGTGAAGAAGCGAGGGCTGCCCGGGAAGCGGGCCAGCTCCGCGCAGGCGCACGAGGCTGGGCTCTCGGTGGGGCTGGGAACCGAGAAGTTAGGCTAGACCAGGAATTCACTATCCCTCTCCCCTTTCCTCCGGTCGGAAAGAGGCCAGTACTGGTGATGTCGGTGGTTTTTCTGTTTCATAATTTGCCCATCGCTTTGCTAGCCAGTACTCACTCCAATTGAGAATTTCACAATACTGATACACGTTCTCCTTCATCATTGGACGAGATGATGACACTTGTTTTATTCACCCCACATCTTCACCCAACCTCAGTATTATAAATCTTCACTGCCATTGCTTCAGTTAAGGATTTTTGACTTGTGACCATGTAATTGTGACTAAACCCAATTTTGGAATATTGTGAAAGGGGCTGTTAATATATTTAAATGGTACCTTTCCTTATCAGTTGTATATCTTATTTTTTTAATCAAATAAGATCTAATTGTATGTTAAAACTTTATAATCGTTCTTTCATTCAGCATTGTAAGAATTTCTCCCATATCATTGTTTCTTTTTTAGTATCTGCATAATATTATATAGGGAATAGCCTTAATTTATATAGTAATTGTGGTAGAGAGTGATTTCTTAGAAGAAATTATGTTGTTCCACACAGCTAACTTCCACGTTTCTAGGTAGCACTGCAAAAAGGGATGCGTTGGTGCAGTTGTTCTTTTACATTTTTTATAAGTTACTTAATTTATAATCAGATGTTAGTTTTTTAAAGATGATGTAGAGAATCTTTTTCAGTAACAGGGACTCACATATATAGAGAGCAAAATAAAAAGTTATGTAGAATTTCATCCAAAGAGACTTAAGATTATTTATTTATAGATTTATAAGGTAAGCATAGAGAGTAAAATATCTAAAGTTGCATAGTGAGCAAAACTGAAACCAGAACTCAACATTTTTTTGATTTCCAGTCCAGTTCAAAAGTTCAGTTATTGACCAGTTACCATGTACCAGTAATTGTGGATGGGGAGGGAATACAAACAAAACAAAAATTCCCTGTTTTCAAGGATTTTAATATTTAAGGGGTACTGGCTCATAAACAGGAAATTTCAATAAAATATGGTTAAGTGCTATTAGAGGAGGGCCACTTCTCTGAGTTTCAGAAAAGGATTCCTGGGAAAAATACATTTGAATCTAGAAAGACGCTTAAGTGAGACAAACATGCAAAGGAAGAGGGATATTTCAGGAAAAGGAACAAAATGAATAGACAGTTCCAAAAATGCAAAATGTGAGTGTTTTGGCAGTGGGCAGTATGTAGTAAACACTACAAGTGCTGTGTTTTTATTAGACTTTAAGACTAGATAGTCTAGAGTAGGAGTAAAAGAAAAAGATTAGAGGGCCGCCCGAGCGGTGTGTTGGTTAGGACTTGGCTTGGGACGCCAGCTCTGAGCAGCAGGGCCCCGGTTTGGATCCCACATGAGGGCCAGTGATGCTCTGCCCTCTATAGCTAAGATGGTGAACAACAGCTCGACCTGGAGCTGGGCTGCTGTGAGTTGCCTGTGATGGCGTAGGCTGCAGTGGGTGCTGACTGGCAGCTGGCGTGAGCCACCGTGAGCGGCCATTCAATGGCCTGCGAGCAACTGCCTCACCCAGGAAAAGTGCAATGATAACACCAGCATGAGCTAGTGAAGCGATGTCCTCTACAACTACACTGAAGAACAAAAGGACAGCAACTTGTCTGTTCCCCTCCCCCGATTCCCCAATAAAATCTTAAAAAAAAAAGAGAAAGATTAGAGAGATCAGGAGGCTGGATCATGGTTCATGATCTTAGCCTGGTGCACCATGCTAAGTAGCTTTGCCCTTGTACTGTACAAGGGCCATTGAAGATTTATACTGCATGGGAACATAATAAAAAATGTTTTTCAGCTAGATCACTGGGTGTAGTGTGGAAGATGAGTTTAAGAAACTCAAAATTAGAGGCAAGGAAATCAGTGAAATAGTCCAAGAAAACAATTTGTATTGTTCAAAAATTTTCAGTATTTACCCAGGTATTAGGGAAGAAATCTATTTTAACTACTGACCTTTTATTATTAAGAGTGCCAGCTCTAGAGATAAAATGACCTCTGTGATTTTGAACAAGTTACTTAATCTCTGACTTGTCAATTATGGATAATAGTAATTTATAGATTTGAAAAAATTAGTAAGTGTTCATAGACCATCCCTGACACATAGTAAATACAAACAGTGCCCCCCAAAAATGTATGCACATTTTAAGAAAGGAAAACTGTATTAAAATTGTAATACTCACTATATACTGATAACAAAAGATGATAAGTCACATTTGACTTCTGCAATTACAAGAGGTGCTCAAAGTGGTTACCATCAGTGCCCAGACACTTCTGATTATAGTGAACTACTGCTTGAGCAATGTTGACCAAAGTGTCCACTTGTATACATGTTTTTGGCACCCCTGGTATACAATGAATGTTAGGTTTTTTACATTTACACTTCTTGTGTATATTGGGTTGTCGGAAAAGTCATGACACATTTTTGCAACGAAAAACAGAAAAAATACATCATGGCTTTTCTGACAGCCCAGTACTTTGCATCTTTAGTCACTCTTAAAGAGACTGTTCCCCCAAAGCATTCTCCCTAAACAATTTGTTTTGACTGAGAAGTAAAATCGCTTAATATCTATAATCCTAGACAATGCTGGAGGGGTTTGTAGGATAGAGATCATTTTCAGTCCATTGTTTGCATTTTCCTACTCCATGATTGATTTTCTATTAATTACAAGCTTCTTGTTTTTGTCTTAGTTTTTAAAATTTCAGGAAACCAACATTGCAGACATAGCCCTTTGGTCACTGTGACGTACTGAAAAATTTTAACTATTTCTTAATTTTTCAGGTTTAGGAGGACACTTTAGGATAATTGACTAGCCCCACATTGTATTAAGTTCTTGAAATTTTTAAAATTTTTAAAGTTTTTTTTTGTTTTTTTTTTTAGCTGAGCCATCCTGCTACCTATTGGCAGCTCAGCAGCTGCTCAGCTCGGGCTGGACTCAAACCGCTGTTGCTCAGAGCTCAAACTCTTGAGCGAGCTCTTAACCAACTGAGCCACTCGGCCGGCCCTTAAAATTTTTAAAGTTTTAAATGTCAGTTTTTAAATGTGCTTACACGAAAAGGTCACAAACTTAATTGTTTGACCTTCGTCTATCTTCTGAATAAACTAGATCATTCATTTAAATATTTAAATCTTTATTGAATGCTTAATTTGTATCAGCAATATGCTAGGTGCTATGGATACAATGAAAGTAAAAATATAGTCTTCCCTCATACAACCTTGTACGGGGACCAACGTTAATCAAATTATTACACAAATAAATGTGAAATTATAATTCTAATAAGCGCTATGAAGGTAAATGCATACAGCTATGAGAGTATTCAATAGGAGGATTTGATTTCATCTGGGAATTGAGAGAAGACATCCCAGAGCAAGTGGATTTCAGATGTGTAGAAGAATGAGGCTTTACTAGGCATAAGTGGGTGAGTGTAACAAAGTGATAGGTAAAAAAAAAAACAGTGTGTGCAAAGGCTTTTACGAAGAAGACAGAAGACTACTTTTGAAGGACTGACAACACTATTAGGACAGCTTACAGACGGGAAAATGGTACTCGCCCATCATGTTCCATTGAAATCATTGGGAAGTTTAGTTTTAGAATATGATTTTTTTAAATAATTTATATTTTAAATATCTACTTCATATATTTTTCAGTTAGCGTCTATGTTTTTTTTAAGTTTATTGGGGTGACAATGGTTAGTAAAGTTACATAGGTTTCAAGTGTACAGTTCTGTAATAGCTTCTGTATTCTCAAATACCATTTTAAAATTTTTAATTAAACCTGATAGCCACTACCAATAATATCTTTTAAACTTAGTTTTACTGAAATCTGCTTCATTTTGTTATAGCTCATTTTCTGATTTAATGGATATATATATATATATATATTTTTTTTTTTTTGGTGGGGGAGGATAACCGTAATTCTTTTACAATGTTTTGAGTCCTTAGATATCTGAAAATGGTTTTACTTTTTGCTCACTTCAATCAATACTATAATTGTTTCACTTGGGAACATTGAAGACATGGCTCCATTGTGTTGTTTTGCATCTTACGTTATATATAAGAATTCTAATGCCAATCTCACTGCTTGTTATTTTGCAATAATCTTATTACTTGTCATTGGACATTTCTAGGTTCTTTTTAAATTCTTTGGAAACCTCAAGTAGGATATTTGGATCTTTTTTCATTTATCCTGCTTCACATCTGTTAGACACTTTCAGTCTAATGAATTTTATCTTTTGAAGCAGGAATTTTTATTCTTATTTGATAATTTCCTCCCTTCATGTCTCTTGGTTCTTTCCTTTTGAAATGCTAATTAGATGGATCATTTCAAATCTTTAGCTCTGTTCTTCATGAAGGGTCTTACCATTTCCCTCATACTTTTCATCTATACTTTTTTACCTTGTTCTGAGAATTCCTTGGCTCCTTCCAGTTCTGATTTTTAGTCTCCATCCATGTTCATCCTGCTACCATTACATTTCTTTGCAGTGGACATTAGAGTTTTGAGATTGATAGATGTTGGTACCTAGATCTATCCTTTGCTCAGTAGAATATCATCCAGAAATTCCTTCCTCTTCAAATCTGTTAACAACCTTCCTAGATTTCCAGTGTTGTTACAGATTATTTGTATTATATGTGTTCGTCATTTTATTGGGATTTAAAGAAGAAAAAGTTATGTATATTTAGCTAGCCATTTGAAACCAGTTCTTTTGATCAGTAAGTAGAGTGAGCACAGGAGTAATCTTTTTATATCATTATATTAAAGGCAGTAAGAAAAATAAAATGGAGTGTTATGTAAGAAAAAAAGTAACCATTGTAGGCAGATTGTTGAGATATTTTGGCCACGCCACTTATTTGCTGTGTCACCTCAGGAAAATTACTTCTGTGCCCAGTTTTTAAATTCTACTAAAATGAGAATAATAGGACCTACCTTTTAGCGTTATTGTGAAGAAAAAAATAATCCACATAAAGCACTTAAAAGGCAATGTGTGGCCTCAAGAGTTTGAGCTCTGAGCAACAGCAGTTCGAGTCCAGCCTGAGCTGAGCAGCCGCTGAGCTGCCAACAGGTAGCAGGATGGCTCAGCTAAAAAAAAAAAAGAAAGAAAGAAAGAAAAAGGCATAAGCTGTAATTGTTAACTGCTATCAGCAGCAGCAGCAGCAGCAGGACATTTTGAAATTATAAAGAAATAGATTGTGTCCATTGTCCAATAAGTAAACAGCCTACTTCGACTACACAGTTCATATTGGAGAATAGTACATGAATATGTTAAAGAAGTCAGTTGGATTCAGATCATGGAGATCTTGAGTTCTAGGCTAATTATTATTCTGATTTTATTGAAGAGAAAACAAACTCAGAAAAGTTACATAGCATACCCTAAATTGCCTAAGTGAAAGTCCACCATTTGAACTCCCTTCTGTGTTTCTTTTTACTCTGCAGGGCATCTCAATGAAAGTACTGTTTTAGGAAGATTATTTCAATAGCACCCACAAGGCCTAAATTTAAGTGATAGCCAACAGGAATTGGTAAGAAAGGGACCAATTCTAAAAATGAATGGAATTGAACTAGATGATCTTTCTGCTCCTTTCCAGCTCTAACATGAGTCCGTTCACTTTCTTACTTCTCTGGGTTTATAAAGAAAATCTTTCCACCATATGATCTATTTTCTACAATTTTTTATTTTCAGAATTTCTAATATGTGTTCTTCTCTTTTGTAATTTTCTACAGGTTTTAGATGGAGCAGGATTAGACATTGATTTCCATCTTGCTTCTCCAGAAGGAAGAACCTTAGTTTTTGAACAAAGAAAATCAGATGGAGTTCACACGTAAGTAATCTTAGTTGATTCCTTGAGCTGAATAATACCAGTGGGCTATCTGCAGGGCAGGGAAATTTAGTACATTTGATACTAAATATCAATATCAAATGATTCCATGGAACATTTTAACCAGTCCTCAATAGTGTTCTATCTTAAAGTATTTTCCATTAACCATTTTCTTTTTGTTAAGGCGTTTGGCAATAATCCTGACTAAATTTTTTCCCTTGTTCTGGTTAAATAGATGAGTATTCCCTAGGTATTGCATTTAGTCTCTTGTATTTTAAACCTACCTTTCTGGCTAACACAGGCCTCCCATTATACAATAGTTACTGTATAGTAACTATAAGTTACTGTTGCAGGTTTGTATCCTAAAGTTTCTTGAGCTGCTGGCTATATCATCTTTGCCCATTCTTGTCTTTCTTAAAACATTACAGTACATCTCTGTGTAAAAACCTTTTTTTTACTTAGACCTCACTCTTTTTAGACAATTAGAGGGCCTGAAAGTAAAAGATCTAACCATCAGAAACCATATGGTAAGAAAATACTTGTTATAACACTTTGTTTAAAGCTTGACAAAAGGCCATATATTCTCTTTGTACATCGCACTTCCCTTTTTTCATCTCTTACTGGTAGTTCCCTGTTCCATTCTATCGTTTTACTATAGTATTTTCTTTACTCGGTATTGTTATTGTGTTAAAATTAAACTGTGAGTTTATAGGAAGAATGACTAGTGTCTAATATTTGCCATAAACTAGGCATTGCGTTATACATGCTTCTAAATTAATCATTCCAACCCACTATGAGATTCCTTGATTCCCTGATTCCCATTTTACAGACAAGGAGGCTCAGAGAAGTTAAATAAGTCTGCAGGGATACACATTTATTAGGAGGAGGAGGTAGGATGGACCAAAATTCTTACTTTCTACCATACGATGCTTAGAACATCCCTGGCACATAGCACTATGTAAGTATTATCTATTATTATAATTATTGGTCTTTGTTTATCAAAGTACCTGGCACGTAATTAATAGTTAATACTAAATATATGTATGAATGAATGGGGGTAGCGGATATCTCCACCATAATTTTTAAGATAGTCATTTCAAAGTGCTTTTTAAAATGGCATTTTACCCATGCAGAGCTCAGAAAAAAAAATCTGCATAAACTATTAATAAATAGAGAAAAAGTGACTTAAAAAGTCAGTTTAGATTGACTATGGGATTAACTATGCTTTCTCTTTGATAGGTATCTGAACAAGAACTAAAAATGTAGTTCCTCTCTAAATTTCAGAATATAAAAAACGTATAGAATTTGTCAGTTTTTATTTCTCTCTGATTTTCTGCATTTCTTTAGAGAAAAATATTAACTTTTAGGGGGAAAATATCTTATTGCTTTAATGCATAGAATTACTTCCCCTTATAACATTGGGAGACAAGAATGCGTTTATAAGAGTTCATATTTATTGAGATCTTTTGATGTGCCAGGCCACTGTTCTAAGCACTTTACATGTATTAATATATATTATTCACCACAATCCTATAAGGTACATGATATTATCATTTTACCAATGAGGAAGTTGAGGCATAGAGGTGTTAAGTACATTGATGAAAGTTACACAACTAGTAAACAGCGAAGCCAGGATTTAAAACCCAGCAGTCTAATTCACTCTTAATCTTTACACCAAATGTACATGTCTACTTTCCAAAAATTAGATTTTAACAAAAATTTTATCTTTAGCTATATTAACTTTTTTTTTTTTTAAGATTTTTTTTTTTTTAATTGGGGAATTTGGGGGATGGGAACAGTGCTGGGGAATTGGGGAAGGGGAACAGACAAGTTGCTGTCGTTTTGTTCTTCAGTCTAGTTGTGGAGGACGTTGCTTCAC